CAACCTATGGCATATCAGCCATGGCAGCCAAGGATGCAGCCAGACTTTCACTTGGAAGATTTTCACTTTACTTGGAAGCGTACACTTGACTTCCTTTCCCAGCTTTTCACCTCGCACTCCTCGTAAGGCTTCACCTGCCATCTCATACCCTGACTATCATGCCTTGCAGTGCCTTGCAGTGCTGCATTGAGAGGCCCCTGCCCTGAAGTTCCTCCTGTGCCATGAGCGGATGGACCGTACCTACATGACACGGCATTGCATACTGCTTCTGTATCAAGGGACGTGTGATACTTTGGGGACTAGCTGGTCGAGCGCACAGCTATGACGAGTAGCATGAGGCCCAGCGCAAAGCACACCACTGCTGCAGCAATTGGCAACAACCTGGATCCATCCGAAACTGACAGCTGCGCTCCAATTTCGTCACCCATCTAGACTGCAGAGAAATCCATCGGGGGCAGCGCGTGTCGCAGGACACATTGCTCTGACACCTGAGAAACTGCAGTTGGCAAGAAAAAGTACGACCAATCTCGGTTCCCAGGCTCCAAGCTCACAAATATTGTTAGCGCACGAGGAGCAGTATTTGCAATCACCTTCGGCCATGGGCTTTTCTGACATAGAATGTCCCAAAAATTGTTGGGATGGATGAGAAGGAGAGCATGGGGATCCATATTCATTATTGATGCTACTGCAGAGCTGTGCAGACCAGATTCTCATAAGTTCACAGCTGGAGTTTTTAAAGCCCAGCCCCACTCCACACCTCGAGGCGTATAGGCGCTGTTGTTTTGTAGACACCTAATTTGCAAACTGCTGAAGGAAGAGCTTTCATTCGAATCACCATACCCCACGAGACCTGAGGCTTCTGCGCAATCAATGCCTGAGTGGGCATTTCCTCAAGCAGGTAGACATGCTCGGCGCTGCCGCTCCTGCAAGTCGGGACTTCGCTGCCAAATATGAAACTATGTAGAGATATGTAGAGATTGACAAACCTTTTGCATGAAATACCAGCCACCAGAGGTAGCCAAAACTGCTTTCAAGCACTTCTTGCAACGTGGGCCTGCATCGGTAACGATCGCACTGACAGGCTGCCACAAGGGGCACAACGGTTGTCAAGCCCACCACGCGCTTCATGGCGGGATCAACGAGCTACGGTAAGGCTAGTACACTTGAAGTCCTCAGGCATCTCAGGTGTTGGATGCAAGTTTTCTCATAGAAGACGAGTGCTGATCGAACGACTCATTCTGCTGGCTTTGAAGCTTTTGTGGCATGTTGATACAGTCTTGTAAGTCTTTATGAAACATGAAAAAGCTGCGAGCTCCAACCTCAAATCTGGGTGAGGCAGAGGACTCGGGTAAGGTCCGTGGTCTGCTGAGCGTGGGGGGGCGCTTCACGTTTCATGGCAGGTGCATTCCTCCCGCCACTGCAGTGTCATCGCACAATCGCGGGTTCGGATGTTCGTCATCCTCTCAGAATTCGTGGCTCAGCTTGGAGAAGGCAAAGACCGACCCGGCCTGAGCTCTTGGCATGCCCCCCCCTCCAAACATACATTCTGAGGGCCCGACAACACACAAGATGTTAAAGGCAAAGAAAGTGGAGATGGCGATGAGCGCATACCTAAGCTTGCAGCTGCAACGTACTTTCAACGAAGCTGTCCACCAGACCGGCACCAACAGAACCACATCAAGCAGCTTGAAACCATCGCTGCGGTACTTGAGGACCTCCGCAACCGGATCCTGCACACGAGCTGCAGTGCCATGTCAGCAGAACTCTTCCCCTTACTGCCCTCTCCTGCATCCAGTAGAAGAAGAGCGGGTGGTTGGCCTTGATGTTGTAGGCCGCCTGGTGGTTGGATAAGTTGGCTCCCAACAACCCAAAGTGAGGTCCATTTATCAGCGCTCAACATTTTCGCAGAGCCAGCCTCTGCCTGCTGGACCGCCAAGCGGAAGAATGGCCGCTGGTCTTCGCCTCAAATTCACTTGCTTTTTGAAATGCGGGGCCCTTTGACAGCTGCAACATCATACCACAATTGTCAATCATGTGACTGTCGAACTTGCGGATCTCAAGGGCCGAGCGCATGAGACGAAGTCCGGAGCGAGCTTTTGGGTTGTTGAACCTCAGGTCTCAATTGGGAGTTTCCAGAAATGAGGCATGGTGCTTGGGAACCAAGTCAGTCCTTCTATCTGAGTGCTTTGATGAAGAAACCTAGAAGCAGTGTGGATAAGCACTCTGAAGCATTCCCAGGATCCGGCTCGCCGCAGCGGAAGTCAGCAGTGGTTCCACTGCAGCAGTTCACGCCCACCTCTGAATGCAAGTGGGATAAATTGTGAAACGAGCACGAACGACCCTGAACAAGTCTGCGGAATGCTTCTGGGTCTTATCGGGTTTCAGGGTTCAACAATGGTGCTGCGCACCTGGCTTAAGAAAACTAGTTGTGAGCAACAATTTTACTACCACAGGGGTCGGGGCACCACAACTTCTGCAGCCCTAGTCACCTCCAACCCAGCTTGGCTGAGCATCGCACCGCCCAGAAGTCGTAGGATGCCAAAGGCTCCTTCACCAAAGTGGACAATCAGACAGCCCGGACTATACTATACTATACTATACTGTACTGTACTGTACTGTAGTGCACTGTACAATAATGCGCTATAGTAATAATATACTCGAAAATACCTACTATAATATATTAGAATATACGCTGATATACTATGATATACTATACTATCTTTTTATGTAATATCATATTCAATCATCCAAGGCAGCAAGATTCCCAGGTAAAGTCTTTCCCTGCTGCAGCTCCTGCCCGAAGACGATAGGCGCCACGCAGTACCTGTCCAATCTTCCATCTGTACGGTTGATGGTCACTCTGAATAGCAAAATGATGACTTTGCGGAAGCAAGGGCTCACAAGCTTTGGCAGAAAAAAATCCAGGCCAAGCAGGAAACTAATACGGCTTCAGTACACATCCTAGAAAACTAACTCAGACATGATTGGCGTCGCAACTTCAGCCCTTAAGCTCCTAAGCCAGTACATGTCCCGGACAAACAAAAAGCGGCTGCTATGCCGGAGGCTGCTCTGCCTGTCAAGGTTTCGGAAAGCCATCGCCTTGGAGGTGTCCAGCCTGAGCTGCTGCGTTTCAGAAGCATCCCAATATCTTATAGCTCACATCCAATCTTCCTCTGGCTACGTAGCAATCCTTCTATGAAACATCACCCGCGCTGGCACCTACCCATCCCATTATTTGGGCCATCTCGACCTGAGGAGCAGGCCCAGTGCCATCCTCGAAGTAGACGCGTCCGGCATCCATCAGCTGCTGCCCCTTCTCACGAGCAGGATTCACCTCACGAATCGTTGCGTGTCCCACGAGAATAGTGTCCTGCCAGCTTCGCTTCGCACCATCTGAGTCGAGCACGGCAGGGTAAGTGTTGATGTTCTCAATGTCGTAGTACGGCTGCATGTTGTACCAGTAATTCATGTCTCCCAAGACCTTAGTATTGCGCTGATAGATACTCGTAAGACCCGATCACCGGACCCTTTTGTTCTCTTTCTGCTCGACATCAAGCAATGCATCTTCCCCATAGAACCCACCCACAATGAACCCGATGGCCACCCAACGAATCCTTGGAACTCTCAGACCCCTACCGCTGCAGAGATGGTGGCGAGGCCGAGGGCGAGGGCCGCGAAAGTGTACCTGGCACAATCCAACTCTCAAAGCTCGGCTTCAATTTGGGGATCCTCCTGAAATTCTTGCTATAGTCTGCCACCGCAAATTAAGGCACACGGCATTCCTCAAGTTTACTGCTGCCTCAACAAAAAACATCCAAATCCAAAACATGGTAACGTCCATCTCCGAATGCATATTGGTGACCAAATCAGACAAAATCATCAGGACCAGGGAATACGATTGAAAAGCCGCGTCATTTCATGAATCCAAGCTGCATATTGGAGTGTCCCTGGACAGGATTCTCAGACTGCCATGGCAACTTATCCATCATGAGCTGCATGTTGCAAAACGCGAAGGGAGTGAGTGATCTGAGTTGTTGGCAGTACGGGTGCCCATCCATGGTGCCCCAAGATGCGCACCGTCAGCTAGGGGCTGCAGCTGCCAACGATCTGGTCCGACGCTCTGGGCCGCTTGTCTGATGCCCTGAATTCGCCGCGGGAAAAATCCAGGCAACATGAACCAGCACGGGCTGCATGCACCATGCACAAATAAGCAGAAAATGTGGCGGAGCTTCCACCATCCTCGGAAAGCTTAGCGGGATCGTTGAGAACGAAGGAGATGGAATGATCAAGCAAACGCATCTTCTGGGAGGTGCCAGCATATTTCACGACCCGTGCAGCAGAATCAGTACGGCCCTGAGCACGCCGAGTACGATGCACATGTCCTCCCAGGCCTGAAGTCCTGCATGGCTACAGCCATGCGTCATGCGTCATGAGTCATGAGTCATGGGTTTGAAACACCGTCGTGGTAAATGAAACGAACGGCTTGATTTCCTGACAACTAGGTTGGCCAGCTTGTGCAATCCATCGGCACAAAGACCACACCGCGCCGTGCTCCTAAACCACGTGCTGCTTCAACAACCAGACCACGAGGATACTGGTTAAAAAAGCAAACCTTGGGCACTCCAGAGTAATGGATGTGAATATGGCCGACATTTTGGTGGGGCCCCTATGTTCGGTACCCGTAGCAAGCCGGCTGGACAAAAGGCGCTTTCCTGGCAAAACTTCTGCCAAGGCTGCGGTGACGGAGAACGAACGGCGAACCACATTCGCTCAACCCGCTCAGCTTGTGCGGGCCGCTTCTGGGTTGGGGTACGTTGGCACGGCACCAGGGCTCGCCCTTACTCACAAACATCCTGCCCTTTACGGCCGATACTGCGCATCTAGAACATGCAGAGGTAGAACCAGGTCCGTTTTGGAACACAAGCCTTTGCCTGTGCGGATTCTGCTGAGGCGACGGCCACTTGCCAGGGGCGCGACAAAGCAACAGCCCTCCACCGAGCATGCACACATTCCGCTGTCTGAATTTTGTTCGTTGCCTCCTCGGCCTCCATCTCTTGCCGAAGCCACACTTGGACACATACCCGTGCACATGCTCGCTATGCAAGAAGCCCGAAACAGGCCACAACCACAAGGAAAGCAAGGTCCAAGCCATCAGGCTGCTGACGCCCAAATCAACAAGGCCCCTATTCGAAGGGCTCAGCTCCTGCTGCAAGCAACAAGCCCGCTAGCAGCATGCCTGTGTAAGGCTGGGGCTGCCCTCTCGCCAGCACGCCGTCCCCGTCACCGACCAGCCACACAGTCGAGTTTCCAAGGTTTGGCATCTTCCAAAGTTGCGGATTCGTCTTCTAAAGGATTCGACACATCATGGCTACAAAAATAATGCAGTCGGTCACATCCACACACAAAGAGAGTGACGGACGCGTCACGTCCCAATTCGCTCCACTTACTTGGCTGTATGGAACCTCGTTAACATGGAACCAGAGCTTTGACGGCGCCGGAATGCTGGGATGCATAGTTGGACCACGACTTTTGCATTCACTCCAATAGAAAATGCCGCTAGCTTATCCGGAGAATTCTGCGGAACGAAGATCAAAATCTTGACAAGTATTGCAAGTGGTAAAGCTTCTGCAAGTGAAGACAATTAGCATCTGCCAAAATGCATTGTCTGGGCATATACCGCCACACGAGCGCATCTTTGAAGAGTCTCCAAAGTTGTGTGTCGAGAGTGGGGCAGAAACCCAAGGGCGCACCAAGTGGGATCCTGGTCCTGCATCTTTGTCCTGTATGCAAAGGAGCCTCCACCAGAGTTGATTCAACTTCTGAATCTTTGGTTGCCCAAAAAGAGGCCCATGCAAGAGCTATGTGCCTGCTCCTGCCGCCAGCGCTAAGCCTCCCAGCTGCATCCCTCTGTCTACAGTCATGCCACATGACCAAACAAGTCCATTCACAAATCAACTCAGCTTGTTTTGGAGGAGATTGCAGAATCATGCCTGCGGCCACGGTAAGCCAGGCCATGATTGGGCTGGAGTGGTGTGTCTTGAAGGACATCGCTGCCTCTGTCATAGGCACGCGGTACACTCATGGCACGAATTGCATGGAAGGCATGCGAGCTCAGGAGACAGCGAAAACGCCGCAGAAGACCAGCCACGGGATGAGAACATTCAGCAGAATAGAGACCTTGCATCACGCTGGAGGCACGTTCGATCCATGTCACAGATGTGTTTATCTGAGCTCCCGTCAACGTTGAGGCGCTTGCGCTTTCCAAAAGAAAAGCTGCTCTCAGGATCCATGGCCATGCGTGGAGAGATGCCAGCCTGGGCATGTCTACGCGGCAACGATCCCGGGGGGGGGGGGGTNNCTGAGAAAGCAAGGCTTTTAGATAGAGGGGGCCCAGATAGGGAGATAGGGGGGAGATTCCAAGAGCGATCGATCAACGTCAATGCAATGATCCTGAAAGCATCAGCAGTCCCCTTGAGACCGACCGCCTGACTTGATGTCAACCTTGTACTTAAAACCTACAACAGTTTGCTTCCAGTCTCAGCCCCTCGCCTTACGTTGTTTCTGCCAAGCCATCTCTTAATTGCCGCGTAATGCCTGAGACCGGAGCGGACTGGCTCTGCCTTGAGTAAGCGCCTGCAAGCACGAAAATGGAAAAAGAACTTCGCTTCCCTGGTTGAAGTCCGTGAAAAGGCCTTGGAAGGTGCTGTAGGGCTTGGACATGGCTCTCGCACAGATCAAACTTCGTTGTGGAACTGAGAAGCCCAGGAGGCTCTGGAAAACACAAGTTCAGACATGTCTCTGACGGGTCCAATGCTTCAAGAATCCACATCAAGTCCCAAGCAACCCCAAGCAAGCATGATGCTAATGCACGGAGACTTCTTTTTGGAGCTGAGCGGGGTTTTATGCGCTCAGAATGGCCTGAAGGCTTCCTCGTAACCACGTTTCTGACCTGGCTTGCTGTCGGCAAACTTCACAGTGAACCGGCCCAGGTTGCCGAGAGTCTCCACGGCCGCGTCCGCGTCTTCCAGCTGGGCAAAGCGCACAAAGGCACAGGGCGAGGCCCCTTGCTTCCGCAAGATTTTGACGTCAGCCACTTGGCCAAAAGGTGCCATCATCCCCCACACAAACTCCATGCTCACGGCTTCCGGTAAGCCGCCCACGAAGACCTTCTCTCCCTGGCCGCCGCCCAGGGATGTTGGCACAGGGTCATCACCACCTTTGGCCTTGGACCCTCCCATGGGGGCCTGGAAGGACTGAGGTTGGGCTTGGAAGCTTTGCTGATATGCTTGGGTATAGGGTGGAGGAGGAGGTGTCGCTCGCATTGAGTTCGAGGGCGGGGGCACAGCTCGCATGGGCATCATGGGCATGGGGGCAGGTGAGAAGGCTTGCATCTGGGGAGTTGACGGAGTTGACCGTGACTTCGCCAGGTCAGCCATCTTCACGACCAGGGTCTTGCCCTCGGCGGCCAGGTCTTCCTTGCCACTCATCGCATGGATGCAGACCTCTGCCTCTGTGAATGATGAAAAGGTCACGAAAGCACAAGGCATAGCCTTGTCGTTCTTCGTGAATATCTTGCTATGGGTTATCGCCCCAAACTGCTGACAAACTCTGCGGATGTCCTCGTCGGTGACCGTGGGCGCAAGTCCGCCGATGAAGACTTTTGGCTCTTGTTGCGAACCCTTCGGAGCGCCCTTGACATCAGCGAACTTGACATTTATGCCTTCCGGGTGGCCATCAGCTCGCAGCTGTGTCTTGTCCAACTCGGCAATGGCTCTCTCTGCGGCCGCCCACGTGTCAAACGAGGCAAATGCACAGTTCTTGCCGTCTAGAAGCTTGATCGCGTACGCGCCGTAAGGAACAAGCATGTCTTCTATTTCGCGCTGCTCACAGTTGGGCGGAAGCCGGCCAATGAAAACCTGCGGCTGCATCTGCGGCGTCTCTTGCCGTGGAGCAGAAAGGGGACTTGGCGCCATAAAGCCCGGGTCCTGCCGGAGCCCCGGAGGCCCCGGGGGCCCCGGAGGTTGCAGAGGCCGAGGAGGAGCTGGAGGCATCTGAACCTCGGGGCCACGCAGGGGAGCCTTGGCCGTCGCCGGCCTGCAGTTCACAAAGCGCCCACAAAATCCACAAGTCGCTTCCTGCACTCCTCGGGTCCCCCGATCTCAGGCCACGGCTTCACATTAAGGCCTGGCCCAGCCTGGCCTGGGATGTCTCAGGTGCAAAGACGGTTTGCGGGTCACAGAAATGCCCAGCTGCGCACTTATCTGGTAACCATTGAGCTCAGCAATGGCCCGCTCGCCAAAAGCCGGGTTCTCGAAGTTTGCAAACCTGGCGTTCTCAGCTGCTGGAGTTCCTCAATCCTTGCTCCTCATTGTCTCACATCACAGTACTACTGAAACAAGAGGCCCTGATAAATGGCAAGGATGACGCACAGCCTTTCCTATCCAGAACACGAATGTTCGTGGCACCATATGGGGCCTTGGTTGATGTTACATGGTTGCTCTGTCCGTGACCGGAAGGGGTTTTGCTTCTCCTGTCAGGCCACTAGCTTTTGGCTTGGCGGGTCGCTTCACATCTTGTCGTGCATGTCGTGTATGCTTTCCAATTCTAGAGTGGCACAACATACCGCGATGAGGCCACAGCAAACAAATCAGAGATTTCTGGAACGCCTGCAAGGATAGTTGAAAAGAGCCGTACACAACACATCATCAAATGGTAGGTTGCGACTCCGCACCTACACCAGGAGGGACCCGGCCAATGAAGACCTCCATGGCCTGTATCCAGTCATCAAAGGTTCACGCGCTGCCTCCTACGCCTCCTACCTGCCCCCCGCACCTCTCACGGTGCAGCCTTGAAGGCTGAAGCTTAATCCGCCGCTCCAGTCTTCATCAAACTAGGGGGATGGAACTTGGGGCGAGCTTTTGGTTGAAGATTGGGTTCTGAGTGGGTCGCAGCTGGATGCATCCTAACTATTGCCGGGATTCTCTTTCTCTTCAGAGCCGTGCAGTACATGGACGCAATGGGAACCCATGGGAGGGCGCAACAAGACTGTGACAAATGTGCGCAACTCTCTAGTCCCATCATATGATACCTCAGCTTGACCCGTGAGCAGGCAGCAAAGCATCCAAGCTTTGGCATTTTGGCTTTGCATGACATTGCCAACAGCACTTGCAAATGAAGGCGGAGCGTTTCTTGCAGGCTTGACGGCTAGGGGCATTATCAAGACAGCATCACCGCCTGCTTTACAGGCGCTGGTATCTGCTTTAAGTCGTTTGCATCTGTCAAGCATCTATACCGCCACTCGCAAGTGCAAAGTCAAGACTCAACATCAGACATCAAGTCACTCACCTGAGTTTCACCATTGCGGAGCGCTGCGGGAAGATGCCGTGCATTAGCTCTATCGGCAGAAGCTGACGTGGTCCAAAGACCAGTATCACTTCGTCCATACTTGGACTCTTTGGAATTTGGACCATGTCAAGCTGTGTCAGCCTGCGGACTAAGTTCGGCTTAGCCCATACAAGAATGCAGCGAGTGCAGCGCATCACTAGCTACAGAGATCATAGAGTACCATTCGCTGCTGCGAAGCCGGTCATGCCACCTGCCGCCTGCACACTCGGAGCCATGCTGCAAGCAGATGAAGAACCACTGCAGCTCCCGGCTTGAGTTGCACAGCTACATTCTTCGTTTGCTGACACGTTTCAATGAAACAACTGCGCCAGGCCTCGTGTGCTTAGCGAGGTTGCCTGCAGGGCTTGCAAATGAGAATCTGCTGAGGCTTGCATCATTGGCAAAGAACATTTACAATCCTTCCGGTGTCTATTTCATCATCTACCTCAGCACATTCTTCTGACCAACAAGGATGACCTTGGATAGGCTTTATGACCAACCCGGCTGACAGCGCAGCCAGCATGACTCCCCCACGCTCTACATCAATGTACACGAATTCCGTAGCTCCCTTGCACTAAAGACCTCGCCCTCGCACGCTGACAGGGAATTCAAAAACAGCATGCCGAATTACAGCTAAACCGATCATCCGCACGCCACTGTGATTGTCTAATGCCAGATCTCTCTTCGAGACGGTATCCACATGATGATACAGCCTCTGCTGTCATAGGCTTCAAAGAATAGCCCAAAGTTCTGAATACTGATCTCTGCTCTGATGTGGTTCAGGCCTCACCCTGCATCGCCTGCAGAGAGGCTGCCTCCTCCTCTCCAAAGCTGAGGTCTGGGGCTTCAGATGAGCTAGATTTAGTTTCTCGGACTAAGCCAAAGAATATGGGTCTATGGAAGCGGGTTCGGAATCCACATAGATTTCAACAACTATTTTGAACTGCTGGGGCTCGTGATGATGTTGGTCCTAACCTCAGTGACAGCAGCTCAGGTCGTGATCTTCCGTGGGTTTAGCGTTGCTTGGCCTGACCAGGGTACAGGACGCAGGGGTTTACACCTTCTGCCTGGTGTGTGGCAGGTCATGCCTCGAAGATGTTGGCTGTGGAAGAATTCGGAAAGCAGATCTTCATAGAGTTCCTTTGTGTAGCCTATAAGTAGTTTCGGCCAGAACATTGAGGGCGTTACTTGCTTCAAGTCCTTTCTGAAGCACCCAGGCACTGCCGTGCTTATGATGGCTGTGATTGGTAAAAAATTCTCTTTCTGTCTCAGAATTACCGTGAGCATTCGTTCTGGTTATTGCCATGGTGAATTGTGCTTGTACTTTTGTCGTTCTTGCGTCACAGGATCGTTGTCATTGCTTTCATTTTGCCCTCTCTGAAAGTACCATGGAACCTCGCGCACAGCCCATAAACAGCACAAAGCCCTTTTAGCGGATTGGTCACCTCCACAGCATCTGTGCGCGCTCGCATGGCATCCAGGCACAGCCGAAGACGATCCCGTTCCTGGGAGGCTTGAACAGAAAGGCTTCCTCAATTCCCGTATGGGAGCCTCTCCGAACCGGGGCCTTTGGGATCCTGGATGAGGAGATGATAGGGGTCTTGCTTAAGGACCATGCAGAGATTCTGTTGGAAGCTATCCCAACAGAACAAGAAGCCTCATTTCTTGGCATCCTGGGATTCAAACAGTGGCCCAGTAGTTTTGGAAGCTCCCACATAAGAAGTTTCCCATAATGAAGTGAGCCAGCTAGCACACCTCCACACAAGGGGATTCCTGGTACAGAATGCATCCAAACAGGGAAATCTGATGTTTCCAGAACCCCAGTGGCTCTGATTTGCATTTTGCAGAAGAGCAGGATCCCTGCTTACAAGGACACCCTCCAAACACTCTGAAATTCCAGTCCACAGAACATGTATACAGAAGGGGGCCCTAATTTTTTAATAAATGCCAGCCTGGCTCCCCCCAAAATAAGTTGTTTCCAAAAATAGGGGGAATCCAATAGTGCGCAATCCTTATTATTGCAACCCCCCAAAAAAGTTCCCCATTTTGGGAAACCCTAAGCCCTAAACAGCAGCTTCCATGTTCTTTTCCATTATCCCTATATACTCCCTATATACTCCCATATCACAGTTATTTAACCCCATACGCTATCCAGCCACCAAAAAATCTCAAGCCCATGCCACTTGCGGAGGAGTTTCCCTGGCCAGCTCCTTGCTGGAGGCCTGGACTTCCTGCCATCCACCAGGAAAAGGGAAAGTCTTGGGAATTGTGAAAGGAGGACTTAGTAATAATGGAAAAGAAAATGGAAACTACTAGTTTATTTCCGGTTTAGGGTTTAAGGTTTAGGGTCTAGGGGCACTTAGTAACTCTAGGCGAATAATCGGGATAATTCGGGTTACTATATGGGTTATAGGGGGTATAAACCTACTTACTAAGTCCCCCTGACCCTCCAAGTAGAGGGTAGGATTCATGTCAAAGGTCTCCCCAAAAGGACACCCCGTCCATGTACCCACCCTGTGTACCATCACACAAAAAAATAAGTACTTCCTACACGGGTGGAGCGTTTGGGCATCCTTTGTTGAGACGCAATGTGTAGATCGCAGTGAAATGTACGGGGGCGGCAGTAATACCGGCAAGAAGCACGAGAATGGTGATGATGATTCCGTCAAGAACTTGCCAGGCATACCAACGCAGGTCAAAACAATCAGAAGGGTTCGTTCAAACTAAGGATTAGGCCCCAATGGGGACCCACGATCCTCCGAAACCGTCTTCTTAGAATGAAATTCAAAAATCCCGATTTCCAAAGCCAGCCCTCCTCAATGGCTGACAGGGTCGCAACCCAGGCCACCTGGCACAGGCATGGAAGCTTCCCTAAACAGTGGACCTCTGTAAATTTCAAAATGATGAAGGGATTCCCAAGGACCCACAACGGGAGCGACGCGGTAATGGCCTCTAAAGATGCAAGAGACTCTGGACATGAGATCATTGGCTTCTTCAGCTTATGTCACCTTGCCTTAGCTGCATCAAAATTATCTTGGGCTGTAGCTTTTACTGGTTGGCTCGTGTCAAGCCAGTTGGTGACTTGCAACATACATGTGAGATGACCTCATCGACCGGCCCTCGCAACACCTCTTCTGCCTCTTCTGCCCTCATGAAGATTCTTAACAAAGGGCCCGTATATGCTACTCCGCTTCTACAACGTCATTGTTTTTCTATCGCATAACTGCCACACAGAAAACACCTCACCTGCTGCAACATCGACTCCATTTCCTATTTCTGGTCAGGAGCCCTTTACGTCCTGGATGCGTAGCACTGCCAGTACGTCGCAACCAAGCAGGAATCAAGACTACTGCAACCAGAAACTCAAGCATGCTTTCATGGGCTATAGTCTAGACTCCTAGTATCCCCTGAATAACCCCTGTCAACAACCCCCTTTAAGGAGTTTAGACTATATAGCTCATAGACTCCTTGCTTCCAAACAGATCCGCCCTTTCCGACTTCAAAGGTTCACAGGCGCTGCCTGAAGCTCTGCCTCAAGGAGATCGGCTCTGCCCAGAGCCTGCGCCTGCCAGAGGCTTGGTTGAGGAGCTTAGGGTGATTTGGGGTTTGAGGTTTCTGGGATGTAGGGGTTTCCCAAAGTGAGCGGTATCTTTCTGAGGGTGCCCATAATGCAGACTATGAGTATATGAGGGTCTAGATTCAGGTCCCCTCATTTTGGGAAACTACTGTGTTGAAGGTCTATGAAACTACCAAAAAACTGGGAAGAACTGCGAAGCATTTAAAAATCGGGCGCTGAAACAGCGTTTTACCAGAAAACCTTCTAATTAGACAGC